CTGGTGCCTAGAGGATAGCAACTTTTGGGAAAGCAAGGCAATGTGAAATTCAATGGAAACTTCAGATCTACTCATATCATTGTGGGGAAATTCTACTGCCAGTCCTTCATCACCTTAAACGAAATAGGGTTAAAACATCTCATACTACAATATTTAAGCCGTATGCTATTTTCAATGGCACAAAATAATAGATAATGCTTCTGGACCAAGACCAACTTCTTCGGAAACAGGAGGATAATTGGTCTCCGTCACGTGCACATTTGGTTGAAGTTAGCATAAAAATGCTCCCCTCCTCTGAAGCTCGTATACCAAGTACCGTTATGCAAAAAAATGACGATCAGATGAAATCACAGGCTGGCTAAAGGAAATCATCAGTCTTCTTTCTTTGAAGCCAGTCCATAAGTCACTCATTCGAATGACTTGACGCGAAACGAGAACATAACAACGCTTCGGACTGTATGTGAATTACCAATACCCAATGCGTGGGTGTATGGCTCGGGTGTGTAAATGCAAAAGGGTAGATCGGTTGTTCATGGAGAGGGGTGATCTTGCGTCATCTAACCCGGTACTTCAATCCATTTGAGTAGGCGGCTTCTAATTCAGACCGTGATTTCACAGGATGCAGCACTCGGTAGGCATTTCGACACTATTTCCAACCAAACGTAACTAACTGTGCTTATAGGCCCAACAAGACGCTAATAAGGTATGCTCATGTGTAAGAAAAAAACAAGCTATAACTAAACTTATCAAAGAAATATTGTCGCCATGGCTGCACATGCAAGTGTTTTGTTCAAGAAACAATTCGATTTGCTGTAAAACCCTGCAACCTATTTGCTTAAACGCCAATTTGTTTAGTTCTGTATCCTCACTGCCCAAGTTTGAGGCCTGCTTTGGAATTGAGACACATGATTTGACTGGGGCACAAGATAGAGGAAAATTTATGGCAAAAGCCGGACAACTTCTTAATCCATCGAGGATAGGCCAAGTCACAAGATCAGACAAACACTAAAGATAACTAAAATTACCACATTTTATTTATATTTAACAGCCAAGGACTACAAAGAGAGCATAAAACCAATAAAAAAGCAAATTAAAAGAAGCCGGGGTTCAAAAAATTCCATTCTTTTCGTTTTAAAAGGCGTTTGGAAGGTATTTGTGGGTTGGCCTCACCGATAACCCAAAGAAGATGGTCTGAAGGAGTTTTAGCTTTTGATCATGCAAATAAAATCTTGTTTCACCGTGCAGCGATTTAGATAAAGGGCAAAAAACAATTCACCAAAAAAATTAAATCAAATGATAGTTATTGGCTTTGACGATTTCTGTCCCCAAGTGACAAAAGTAAGCTCAGCATGGACTCATCTTCCTCTTTAAACGAAACGAAAGGTCCGCCAACATTCACAAAAACACGGCATCAGGTACAAAACGTTGTGTACCAATTAGAAAATACCAAGTAAACAAGGTACCTCAGAACTCTTAAGAAAAGCTCAATAGCTATGAGCTACTTTCGAAAATTAAGTAATGTTGATGAAGGATCGTGAGGCTTGTTTGACCACAAGATGGCCTTCTTTTTCGATTTGCATAAAATGATAGCATAACTTGAGCACTTTGCTAAGCTTTCTTTAAGATTGTACAAAGTTACTAGCTTGGATGATTGACTTATTGGACAGCTCTCTTAGGAAGCACTGTCAATTTAATTTTCTTTTAATGTAAAATTGATTGAAACGTGAAGAAAGATAGTCTTGAGATTATGAATGCTGATCAAGAAAAATTAGGCCTTGGATAATCGCCTTCCTATCTCAATGGATCCCTGGTCACACTTCGTTTGCATTCGTTGTTCTAGCATTTTATGAGGTTTTCTTCAAGAATACCACCCAGTAGTGATGAAGTATGTCATGGTAGATAGCTTATTGCGAGTTCCTCTGGCTCAGAGGTCCACATCTGCGTCGCATCGGTACCAAAAATGCCGAGGAAATCCTCTTTCAGGATTAAGTTAAGCCAAAAATACAGGAAGGCCGCGATTAATACGAGTCCGAATATCGCGAAATTGAGTTTACCACGAGTTACAAAATGATGCCCGGCCGCATGTGGTAAGAACCATAGTTCCGTTAGTATTATCGTCAAGATTATCAACGCATCAGTGATCGGTAGACCGTTGCCCTTTATGCGTATCTTTTATATATACTCCTTAGTATATTTTAAATCGTTCATCACCCACTTATTCAAATATGTACAAAGGGAAGAATGATAAAGCGAATCTTAGCGGTAAAAAGAAGAATCGAATAGTGATTACATTATAACAAAAATGTGATGCAATCAGAAGACACAAACGTGGTAAGAGTAATTCTTAAATTGGCAGAGATGTTGGAATGCATGAAGGAAGGGTACGCAATATTTTGGCAATACGTAGATGAAATGAAGGAAAAAGATAAAGATGTATCAGCTTCATGCGATTTGAAAGACATCTCTAGGAATAGAAGTATTATAATGTTAGATTTGTGCAAGAATGTAACTGCAATATTTTAGCCAGTAAGCATCACATCATCACTGAAGCCTGTGGGCAAAATAATAATAGCGAAATTTATAGTAAAACTTTTGCGCAAGCAGTTGTTCAAACAGCAGATAATGATGCTATCTATACTAAATTGCTTTACTTGTAATACACCTTTTATCTTTAATGTGTTTGTATTATCCTTAACTATTAATATATATTTATGGAAAAATTAAACAATATAATTTATTAATGAAATGGTACCAAATTCCTTACTTTATATGATATGATCACTTCAAATGGTACGATTTTGAATAATACGACATTTTCACGGGACAAATTATTCATAGTACCCAACATGCACCCAACATTAAGTATTACTTTAGGAGTCCAATCACATAAATCTATTAAAGGAGGCCTTGAGGCCCAGTTTGCTCCACTTTAGGTCCAATTTAGTTGGAAATGTGTCAAACATTGGTTTAGCAGGATATCATTGTATCCGAGGCATACCAGCAATGCCTCTAACCACTTCGGCATGAAGTTACTTAAGCCTCCAAAGGTTTGTGTGACTAGCCTTGCATGTGCATATTTCTATACTGTTTAGTATACCTAAACGAAAATATGAAAGGTATTTTAGATAAAGTCATGGCTACCTCGATTAGAAATAGCAGACTCGTCGACGCTAAAAAGGAATATATTTTCACATATTAGTGTGTACAATGGATGTGAAATATAGGTTGATACGCTCTTGTAGACTAGTTTTTACGTAGGCTTGAGTTGGCCTTTGTGTGGGTATATAACAAAAAAAGCCAAACTGATACCGAAAGATTGTTTTGGCCACCTTTCTGTAAAAGTAATCGTTCTTTTCTCTTTTACACCTGATGGCCACTCTTATAGCTTTGTTTTTTATCGTAGATTTTTATAATTTGTAAAGTTGATGGCTTATTTATCTCATTTGGGCAATCAATGACAGACTTCACGTTCGCTATATATGCTACCAGTCGAGAGCTCAGAGTTATTGGTCGCTTAGACGAGGTTTCATTTCGTTAACCTTTTATGGATGAAGATACTGGCAGCCACAATTTTACAAAAACTGGGTCTAGATTCACGATCAGGAATTCACAGAAAAGTGGCTTCACGGGATAGTTATCGTAAATTGCTCCATCTACATGTAAACTGATCAGGAAATCTGGAAAATAGTATCGATGGAAAATTTTCGTCTTTGGCATAATGGCCCAACATATCATGGAGCTTCTCGATGGCGAAAATGCCAATCGTGTCATATGCTATATTAGGGTCTAGTGATCGCCCAGTTCCACCAGGTACAATTTGTAGGTCAATGTCCACGCCGTCTAAATGGCAAACCAGCGATAAAACACACCATTCGTTGCATTTAAAACAGAAAGCAGCATGAAGGTTGTCCTGGATACCAGAATATAGGGGAAAATTGCTTTGAAAAATTCTCATATGTCTTCTGAAGTCGGCGTACTTTGGAGCAGGGCACAAGTTAAAATGAATAAAGGGCAATTTGTTTCCACACGCAAAATGAGTACAGTTTCATTTGGTTCCAAGCATACTGCAGTGAAAATTAAGGTGCATTTTAGGCAAGTGAGCGTTCTCATTAGTAAGACGATATTACTTTGCATAGACAGCCACTGGAGAGACCGGTGGGTCAACAGTGAGCGGTATCCGCTTTCTAAGTCGCTGCCGAATGCAGTGCGAAACTAATACTGGCTGTAGAATGCATATAAACTATATATCCACATTATATATTCACATATATATGCATGTATGAATGTTTGTAGCCATATATGATGCAGGAATCGGTGATAGGGATGAAACAACTTTCACTTGCGAAAATGTGGTCCTTTGGAACATCCGCAATGGAGGAAGTGTCACATGAAGGTACAGTGATGAGGCAATTGCATGTGAGGGTACATTCTTACAAAGAAAGCTGGTATAATGCAGCCAAAGCTATTGGTATGTCTTCGAGGCTCACCTTGATACAGGTTGTGGACTTATGCGGGCGGTGGTAATGGGTTTTGAGGCATGCTGGGAATTTAACTCAGTTGTGTCAACTACCTTACGAAGAAAATTTGCAGAGCCGAATGAAGCTAAATTTCGAAGAAAAAAGAAGGTCCAGACGGTGGGCTGCAGCTGCCGCTTGCTTGCAATGCCGATTTTGTAAGACGAGGTCACATATGCATGCTGGACTAGAGAATCCTCAGCCAGCAAAATGTTTCATTTTGAGAAGCAATATGACAAAATTAAAATATAAACAATTTCTGTGCTTGTACGTATATGCAAGCAAATCTCTTCGGCCTTAGGCAAATGGGACTTTTTTCAGTCTAAGAGCCAAGGAAAAATTTTTATTCGTAACCCTCTAAAATGCCTGATAAGTATGCGCAAATGTGATGAATTTACGAACTGATTGGAAGTCTCCGTCAATATATAAAACCTAAAGATAATAAAACCTGGAACAGAATGTGTCTTCACTACGAGGCAACGCGAATTACGGTTTGCAGGCCGATTGATCATCGGAATCCTGGCCTGAATTTAAGAATTATCCTACAATTCTCGCTTTAGATACAAGACTGGCAATAGATGGGGCCTTAAAAGAGGCTAATTTAAAGACATGCATCTCTGCAAGGTTAACCAATAGGCAGAGTAAAAAATAGGTTAAGTGACATTCTGGAGCTCATGCCTAATATGAGATAACGATTTTCGGTAAGTAAACACGGTTACTCAGGCCTTATGACATAATAAGCGCACTCAGCCACAATCCAATGCATACTCCACCGGATTGTTAAAGCAATTGCCTTCATTTTTTGCTTTGAAGTTAAAAGCGAAATGCAAAATGGAAAATGTAGCAGACAATCCTCCCTAAATTATGCTACCTTGTTAGCACATATGTTTAAAAGCTGTTTACTTATTTTTAACTCTACCTACTGCCCGATTGCAAGTAGTATGTGTTATGCTATATTAATCAGAAACGACCTCTCCTGAAGCCAGGAATCATTTTTCTTCTTAGGATAGTCTGCGATAAACGTAAATTGTCTCTTAACTGATTCTGTAAAAGTCATCCGAAGGGTCCAGTTCCCTTTGATAATCAAGAAGGTCAAATATATGGATTGATCAGAAGCTCAATTATTATTTTGCCCAAAGTTAATAGTTGTTGAGCTTACCTCCATTTCGAGTGAAAGTGTTGGGTGAAGAGATTCGAAGGCCGGTTCCACCAGCAGACGACGGCGGATTCCTCTTGACCAGCTGTCGATTGGCTTTACTGGAAGATTCATGCTGGCGCTGTTTCCGAGGCAATCTCCTTCGATTCCGCTGAAAACGTGCTAAGCCTTTGTCCGTCATATGACGAACATAATCACTCACACAGTCATAGACTTCGAGGTTCAAATATAACCGTAACTAACCAAATCACTTTATACCTGATCAGAGACCAGCTTTTTAGGGATTTGCCGGTGAGTTTTCTTGACTCGTCAGCTTGAATTTTGTTATGACGATGATACCTTGCTCTGATGATGTTCGTCATATGACAAACGAAAGTTAATAGGCCCTAAAGGTGAATATTTGACAGCCTGGAACTGGTGCAGTATCAAAAGTGCATTAGGTCCACATCAAATAATCTATCTCATAATGGGTCTTCTGCCATAGCTGCCGTGTTATCTTCCAGCATTGGATCTTTGACCAGGTACACTGCCAGACACCCAGTTAACATGGCCAATTTTCGGTTCCTCATGTCCTGGTATCTTTTATACTGTATAGCGTTTCACACGCTCACTCAATCTGGGCACTTAGCTTCTAGACTTCTCTCCCTACCATCCGTTGATAAAATATAACACATATATTTGACCCTTAAAGTGGAGTTAATGGGGAGTATTCACCATCACTATACATTTCGCATCAGGTATGCAGCGGTTTATGAGCCCAATTGGTACCTCCACTCGGCGATCTACTTGCCCAACTTCTATCAGCTGGTCCCTCCTGCCCATTAAAAGTCTCTACCTAATCCACCCTGTTAGCCTGTAGCTGTAAGCATACACCGTGAATATGGTTGTGGTATGTTCACGATTCCCACTCTGTAGAAGCCAAGATTTACTTATCATCATCGTCATTTTATTCTTAATCAACCTCCTCAACATCATTATCACCATCAGCATTACCACCAGCATCATTAGTATCATCACTGAATTTTCGTATAGTATGCGAAATGTTGGTAAATAATGCTGAGTCCAAAGGACATATGACAATTGATAATGGGGTATCAACTCACTTGAGTCGAAGCATTGCATCGCAACGTGCTCCGGTGTCTGATTGGCACTTGGGATCGACTGTCCCTTGACTGACTGCCCTACACCACTGTCCATGCTGCCCTGATGTGAGTGCTGATTGACTCCAGGAACGCCGATCCCGACCCCTGGACCTCCTGACACCGTCAGCACTCCAGGACCACCTGGAACCCCCTCCGTCACTGTGCCCTGAGGAAGTACCGACTGACCGTTCGAGGTGGGCAGCAGACCGGGCAGATCAGTAAGCATACCGACCACCAGATCAGCATCCCTTGGCGTCACCATGGCAACAGACGACTGCTCACTCAGCATTCCGAGGCTCACATCGGGCGGTTCATCACCACCCTCCGATTCAATCGGTTCGGCCAGCAGACCC